GTCTGAAGCTCAGCCTGTTCCCATATAAACACTGATTTAGAAAAGAATTAGAAATGTAGGCACATAGTTTTTTCTTTATATAATCACATAAAATCTTATAGTTACTTATCCTGAAGATAGATACTCAACGTAACCTTTAATCTTACTAATGACTGTCGGGTTATGAAGCACAGAACTGAGGTGACATCGTGAACAAGGTGAGCCTAAGGCAAAATGCTCTAAGCCCCCTGTGACGCCCGCATGAGGGCTGCTGGAGGGCGCCCCGGCTGTGCGGCAGTGCCAGCGCTGGGAAAGGCCCGCTGTTTAGCCAGCTGGGGAAGGAGGTGTCCAGAATGGCCGAGACGCCTCCTTCCTGGGGGAGTTAGGAGAAAACAGCCGGGCTGCTGTCAGGGAGGCCCACAGACATCCGTGGGCTTAACGGTGTCTATGTGATGCTGGACCTCAGCGGTCACGTTCCATGTCCACTCTCACGCTCCGCTTCTGCACCTGGCCCCTCCTTTTCTCAGAAGGTAAGAATTAATAATAGTAACATAATCTTAGTGTCCTTGACATTTCTGAGAAACATGCAAAGGGCGCTGGTGCAGCAGGTTTTCTCCCCGCCTGGGCTACTTCAAAGTCCTGGGCCCCCTGTCTCCAAGACACGGGACTTACCTGACCCTCTGTCACCGACCACCATTACCTCACCCTACCTTCCCTGCCCCCCGCTTTGCACTCCATAAAAGTCAGAGTGTCCAGGCACTCGGGCCATAGCTGGACTCCGCGATTTGGTTGGCAGTGGACCCTGGGCCCAAACTCTCTTTTCTCTGTCTCTGTGTCTTTTATTTCTATAGTTTCTCATCTCTGCACCAGGAGGGAGGGTCTCACAGACCCTGTAGGGCTGGACCCTATACTCAGAAGGGTGAAGCGGGGCAGTCACTTGAACCCAGGAGGCAGAGGAGGCAGTGAGCCGAGATCCCACTCCAACCTCAGTGACACGGAGAGACTCCCCAAGAAAAGAAAAAGAGAGAGAGAGAGAAAAAAAAAAAGAGAGAAAGAAAGAGACAGAGAAAGAAAGAAAAGAAAGAGCAAGAGAGAAAGAAAGAGATAGAAGGAAAAGAAAGAAAGGGAAAGAGAAAGTAAGGAGGGAGGGAGGGAAGGAAGGAAGGAAGGAATTAAGAGGAAAGGAAGAACAGAAGGAAGGGAGGGAAGAATTGTTATTTTTAATACATTTAAAACATGTGGCCGGGCACGGTGGCTCAGGCCTGTAGTCCCGGCACTTTGGGAGGCTGAGGCGGGTCTATCACTTGAACTCCAGAGCTCGAGACCAGCCTGGGGAACATGGCAAGACCCTGCCTCTACAAAAAATACAACAATTGGCTGGGCATGGCGGTGTACGCCTGCAGTGCAAGCTAGTCAGGAGGCTGGGGCGGGAGGATCACCTGAACTTGAGGAAGCTGCGGCTGCAGTGGGCTGAGAGCACACCACTACCCTTGAGCCTGAGTGGCAGAGACCCTGTCTCAAAAAATAAAATAACATGAAAAAAATTAAAATGGTCACGGAAGTGGGTGTTGAAGTCCTGACTTCCCGTGACACTTTTGGGGGAAATATGACAATTTACAGATGAGGTTAGGTCAACTGACTCATTGGATGTCTTGGGTAAAATTTCCTATCAATATTTCTGTGATGTCTATTTGAACTCATTTTTTTTTTTTTTTTTTTGAGACATAGTCATGCTTTGTGGCCCAGGCTGGAATGCAGTGGTACAATTTCAGCTCACTGCAAACTTCACCTCCCGGGATCCAGAGATTCTCCTGCTTCAGCCTCCTGAGCTGGGATTACAGGAGCCTGCTACCATGCCCGGCTAATTTTTCTATTTGTAATAGATTCAGGATGTTTTTTTTTTAATGACGTTTCGCTCTTGTTACCCAGGCTGGAGTGCAATGGCGTGATCTCGGCTCACCGCAACCTCCGCCTCCCGGGTTCAGGCAATTCTCCTGCCTCAGCCTCCTGAGTAGCTGGGATTACAGGCACGCGCCACCATGCCCAGCTAATTTTTTGTATTCTCAGTAGAGATGGGGTTTCACCATGTTGACCAGGATGGTCTCGATCTCTTGACCTCATGATCCACCCGCCTCGGCCTCCCAAAGTGCTGGGATTACAGGTGTGAGCCACCACGCCCGGCCCTCTTGCCCACTTCTTACCGTACATGGGGCTGGCAGAGAAGAGAAGACAGAACCGCCATCTTGAGCATGTCTAGTCCCTGGTTCCTGCCAGCATTCATCCAGGCAAGCTCCTGCTGGCTTGTCTATGTCTGCAGCTCGACTTACAGGTTGCTCTTTGTTAGAAAATGATTTGGGGCTGCTTTTCATTAAAAAGAAAAGCCTTGGCCGGACGTGGTGGCTCACGACTGTAATCCCAGCACTTTGGGAGGCAGAGGTCGGTGGATCACCTGAAGTGACAAGTTCGAGACCAGCCTGGCCAACATGATGAAACCTCATCTCTACTGAAAAAATTAGCTGGGCACAGTGGCCCGTGCCTATAATTCCAGCTACTCGGGAGGCTGACAGAGGAGAATTGTTTGAACCTAGGAGGCAGAGGTTGCGGTGAGCCAATATTGTACCACTGTACTCCAGCCTGGGCAAGAGAGTGAGACTCTGTCTCAAGAAAAAAAAAAAAACGCCTTACCAAGGCCTTCCATAGCCTATTTGCCTAAGTGATTCCTTCTTACCTCCTGTACCATTATCCCAGAATATGACTTCTAATCTTAGAAAACTGTGCCCCTTCTAGAGAGTTGACAAATGTCAAATACTTTTTTTTTTTCTTTTTGGGGGACGGAGTCTCACTCTGTCGCCCAGGCTGGAGTGCAGTGGTACTGACTCAGCTCGCTGCAACCTCTGCCTTCGCGGTTCAAGTGGTTCCCCTGCCTCAGCCTCCTCACACCCCACCACACCTGGCTAATTTTTTTATTTAGTAGAGATGGGGTTTCCCCATGTTGGCGGGAATAGTCTCCATCTCCTGTCCTCCTGATCCACCCGCCTTGGCCTCCCACAGTGCTGAGATTACAGTCGTGAGCCACTGCACCCAGCCCCAGTGCTATTTTTTAAGGGAGGGACTAATTATTTTAAAAATACGGCCGGGCGCACTGGCCCATGCCTGTAATCCCAGCACAGTGGGAGGCCCAGGCAGGAGGATCACCTGAGGTCAGGAGTTGGAGACCAGCTTCGCCAACATAACGAAACTCCGTCTCTACTAAAAATACAGAAATTAGCCAGGCCTGGTGGCGCGTGCCTGTAATCCCAGCTACTACGGGGGCTGAGGCAGGAGAATCGCTTGAACCCAGGAGGCAGAGGTTGTGGTGAGCTGAGGCTGTGCCACTGCCCTCCAGCCTGGGGACAGAGGGAGACTCCGTCTCACAAGCTAACAAAGGACAAAAACAACTACAAAAATCCTATGAAAATCTTTCTGGACCTCAGCGCGCTACTTGTTCCGTGGGGTGACGAAGGGGCCCGCTCTCAGCCTCGGGTCCGAGGGCTCCATGCAGGTCAGGCCCGGGTTCCTGACGCTCTCATTCTTGCTCTGCAGGAGCCCAGCCTTCCCCGGCGAGCTCGCTTTCTGACCCACACCTTGACTTCTGTCACTTGCTTGACTGTAAGGCAGAGCCACCCGTAGAGGAATGGGCTTAAAAGGAGGGTAGGGGAGGAGACGCCAAGGAACAGAGAGAAAGGTGCCAAGAGGACGTCATTACCTGGAAGGCCCTGAGGCTGCCTATGAGATCCGGTGACCGACCGTCGTCGGGTGCTGGAGAAATGTCACTCAGGCACATTGAAACACTCTCCAGGCCGGGGGCAGTGGCTCACGCCTGTCATCCCAGCACTTTGGGAGGCCGAGGTGGGTGGATCACGAGGTCAAGAGATCAAGACCATCTTGGCCAACACAGTGAAACCCCGTCTCTATATACATATAAAAAAAAATATTTTTCGTGGTTTATAATTATTATTTTTTGGGGGACGGGGAGAGGGGAGACGAAGTCTTGCTCTCTTGCCCAGGCTGGAGTGCTGTGGCGCAATTTCCTATCACTGTAACCTCAGCCTCCCGGGTTCAAGCGATTCCACTGCCTCAGCCCCCTGAGTAGCTGGAATTACAGGTGTCGCCACACCCGGCTAGTTTTATCTTTTAGTACAGATGGAGTTTCACCATGTTGGGCTGGGCTGGTTTCAAACTCCTGACCTCAGGTGATCCACTGGCCTCAGCCTCCCCAAAGTGCTGGGATTACAGGAGTGAGCCACTGCGCTGCGCCCATCACGGTTTATAATGAGACATTTCCCTCACACTGTGAAGAGAGGTCTGTTTGGGTCACCTCTGTATTCCCCAAACCTGGGCAGTGCTGGCCTCAAATGTGCCAAGGAAGGAAGGAGGGAGGGAGGGAGGCAAGGAGGAAGGAGGGAGGGAGGGAGGGAGGGAAGGAGGGAAGGAGGGAGGAGGGAAGGAGGGAAGGAGTAAAGGAGGGAGGAATCTCCTTTTTCTACTCCTCGCCCTTCCCCCTTCCCTCCAGCCCCCCAGGGGCCTCCCAGCGCGCTCGCATCCCCAACCCGGGAACTCCAGGGACTAGATGGGGAGGGGACGGTGGGAGGGGGTGGCTTAGGCGGAGGGGGGAGGAAGGGGGAGGGAGAAGGCGGAGCGCGCGGCTGGGGAGGGCGGTGGCGGTGGCGGGGGGCGGAGCCGCGACCCCGAGGCTGGGAGCGCCCCACCTGCACCCCCAGTCGCCCGCGCCGCGCCCCGCGCCCCGCGCCCACCAGAGGGCAGCACCACGCCGCGCACGGAGGAGGCCGAGGCGGGAACGGCCGCACCCCCAGCCCCGCCCGGCCCACGCGCACGCCCCCGACGCCAGTGGGGAAACTGAGGCCCGAAGCCCGGACCCCGCGGCCCGGACCCACTCCGGCTCTGACGTCAGCTCCGTGCCCCAAATAACTTCCTCCCCGAGCCGCTTCCGCCGCGGGGCCGCGCCCAGAGCCAGTTGGGGACACCAAGACGGTCACCCGGCCCAGCCTTCCCGGAGCCGCTTCCGCCCCGCCCGCTGCCGGGAAGCCCCGCCCGCCGGAGGGTAGCAGCGGGGGCCGGGGTCGGCCGCCGGGCGGGGCTTCCGAGCCCGGGGTCCTGGAGGAGGGTCGCCCCGGCCCCGCCACGTGCCTTCGCCTCTCCGCTCGGGGCCCCGCGCGCCGCAGGCCTTGACTTCCCCCCACGCGGCTAATAAATACTCAATGAACGAAGCTGGGCGGTCCGCTCGGGGTCTGCGGGGGCGCCAGGGTCAGCTCAGGGCCGGGGAACCGAGGCCAGCGGCGCCCCCCGCTGCGCCGGGTGAGGGGTCTGCCCGGGGGTCTCGGGGTTCGGGGCCAGGTCACGGAGGAGTCGGCTCTGGGCGCTTCCTTGTGAGGAGAGGAGCCGGGCGGGCCGGGCCGACGGGTTGGGCTGCATACCCGGGCCTGTGCTCACCCCCGGCATAAAACCCCACTTCATGGAGCCTGCACCTCGCTCGTGCTCCAACGCTCCTGCCGGCGCTGACCCCGACCCTGCGCCCCAGCCAGGCCTGAGGACATGAGGCGGCCCGCGGCGGTGCCGCTGCTGCTGCTGCTGTGTCTCGGTGAGTCCCGACGTGCAGGGTCGAAAGGCGCAGTTGCCGGCGGGCCCCGCTGCGCTGCCTGGGGTTTGGGCTCAGCCCCCCACTCCGGGGGCCAGGCCGGGGCTGCAGGACAGGCCATCCTTCCTGCCTCAACGGTGGGGTCCCCCCGGGCAGGTGGGAAGGCTCCAGATGTGCCACCTGGGGAACCCAAAGTGGGGAGGGCAGGGTGGGAGGTGTGGGCACAGGCCCCAGGGGACCCCACGGCCATGACTGCACAGGGCCTCCTCCCACATCTCTCCGAGGGCACTGGTGTGCCAGCTCTGGCCAGGCTCCCTGCTTTCTGCCACCTTGGCCTCTCTCCCCCATTCCCTCGTGCGAACAGGGGCCTCCTATGTGCAGGATGTGAACTCGGGCCTGCCGGGCTCTAAGTGCCTGGACCATCATCCCTGGGCCGGGAGGGTGGCTGAGCAGGGCTGCTGCCTGTGCCCAGAAGCCCCAGCAGGCTGGCTGCAGCCTTAGTAGACAGCTGGGGCCAGGGGGTGCAGCCGGCAGAGGGCCCTGTCCCCTGCTGACAGAGGAACCGGTGATGTGCCACTGTGTCCTCCTCTCTTGGTCCTAGGTCAGGGAAGCAGGTGCCATCCAGGGGGCCCCACCTGCCAGGTCCCTCCCTACAGGCTGGGACACTCTCTGCCAGGGAAACCCTCTCGAATTCCTGGGCCAGCCTGGCCAGCCTGGCAGCCACCACACTTCCCTGTCCTCAAGTTACCTCCCAGGGCTGGGTCAGGTCATCCCAGGGTGCAGCTCAGCTAGGACTCCAGGCTTCCTCTTTCTCTTGGGTAGGAGGGCACCACTGTGACCCCTCACTGGCCCAGCCTCCCAGCACAAGGATAATGGGGCCCTCTGAGGGAGCCATCTGCACAGGGGGTAGAAGGCAGTGACTGCCCCCCAAACGGGGTGAGGAACCGAGGTCATTGCCTAAAAGGAAAATTCGGCCTGCAGTCGGCTCCGAAGCCATGACTGGAGGCTGGAATCCTGGACACGTCCTCATCCTCCAGCCCGAGGGTGACACCCCCACCAGGCCTCTGGCTGGTCCCTGCTAGCATCCTAGGCTCCACCATCCCAACCAGCCACCAGTGGATGGCAGGCCCAGGGCCCAGACAATGCACCTGTCAGCCCCAGCACTCCTGGCTGTCGTGTCCAGCCCCAGCACCGGGCGCCCACCCTGAAGGGCCTAGCTCTCCACATCAGCCTTTCTGATCAGCCCCCACAGCCACACTTGTGTCCCTCCACATATTCCCTGAACTCAGGCCCTCAGATGCAGCCCCTGCCTTCTGGGAGCTCCTGGGCTGAGATGAGTCTCAATTCTGACTCCAGGGTGATATAGGCAGAGGTCCCATCAGGACAGAGAGCTCAAGAGACAGTGTGGGCCTTCCAAGATAAGACAACGCAAGCAAGCAAGGAAGGCTTCCTGGAGGAGGCGGCATTCGGTTGGGCCTTGATCTGTAGATCAAGACAAGGACTCATGGAGACCAGGAGGGAAGGGCATCCAGATCTTGGGGCAAGGGGAGAAAGCACTCAGAGGCCAGAAGGCTCTGCCTAAATGAGAAGTGCAAGGCTACCTTAGGAAGGAAGGATCCGCACAGGGAGGAGGCATCACTGGAGGGGGCGGTGCTCAGACAGGGATCCCGTGCGCCCTTCTGCGAAGGCGCAAGGCTTGGAAGGAGCTAGGGGTCAGGGGTTAGACACCCAAACTGACCCTGGCAAGGGCCAGGGAATAACCCTCCCGGGTGTTTGCATTTTAAAAGGGCCACCTAATTAGCACCAATTAATGAGCAGAGCGATCAGGGCAGACTTTCCGTTGCCCCTGACCTGGCTTCTGCAAGGCAGCCCTCTGCCTGTCCTGCACCTTCCCCACCTTCTCCTCCTGTCCATCCACAGCTGCCCCCTCACCACCTGCTGCCTCATCGTCCGCACCCCCCAGGGGCATCTCTGCCCACCAGTCGTGTTGAGAAGCGTGGCCCCAGACTGTGAGGCAGGCAGGGAGAGGATGCCATAAAAACCCTCAGGGTTCTTGGGCGCTTCATGGCCACTTCCTGTCCCTGCAGCACCTCCACTCCACGGGACTGGTTATCTTTTCCAGGCAGAGTGAAGGCATGGTCTATGGCAGCTGGCCCAGCCCCCTGGGACCCAGAAGGCGCTGGGTGTTGGGGGGAAGCTGAGGGCCAAGGTGTGGGGAGGTGGCTGTTCTACCCCCTCCCCAGCTGTGGGCAGATGCACCCCCACGGAACCAGACGTGTGGAGTACAGTGTTGCTGAGAGGACTGTTTCGAAGCTGGGCATTTCCAGGCTTTGCCACCCCGGGGCTGTACACTGTGGTCCTGGCTGGGGTCTCCAAGCTGGGGTAGAGGGGCCAGTGTTGGATTAAAGGCCCTTTGTGTCCTGGGGTGTTGGAGGCAATGTGCCCCAGAACAAAAGTCCCCATCCTTGGTTCCCCTGAATGACCCCACAACTTACTTCCCTTCTTGGCCTCTCACTTTACCAGCACCAAAGACCTTACATGGCCTGGCAGGGGGTCTTAGGCCTCGTCTGCAGAGCCTGCCACATGCCTGGGAGAGGGGTCAGCTCTTGGGACTCTGGAATCTTGGGAAGGCTGAACCCCGGGTGGCCACTGCAAACCACTGTACCTTCTCTACCCCCGAGACCAGGGAGCAGCCTGTGGGGCTAAGGCCTAAGCCTCAGGACCCAAGTGAGACGTGGGAGAGACCTGATATTCTGGAGCAGACTGTGAGAGCCTGGGCAGCTCAAACGCAGAGGCAGCTCCCAGGCCTCTTCTGCTCCAAGCTGTCCAGGGAGGAAAGGCTGACCCCATAGTGCTGGGGCTGGAGGCTGGACCCTCTCCAGAAGCTTCCAGACAAGGATGGGTGTGGAATGTGGAGGGAGAGAACCCTTGCTAGGATGAGAAGGGGACATCCGGCTCCCCATGTGGCAAGGACCGTCCACCCTTGCAGACAAGCTCTGGCCCACAGGTCTGGACCAGAGCATATGGCAGAGCCAGCCCCAGGGGAAACTGCAGGCCCTTAGCCTCTCCTGTGAGACCCTCTGTGGACTGTCCCTCCAGAGTCCTCAGGAGCTGGGGAAGGTCAGTGGAGAGGGGCAGCAGCTCGCCTGGCTGATTACCCTCTTCTCACTTCCAGGGACTCAGGGGGCCAAGACAGCAACAGGTAAGCACCCAAGGCCCTGGGGTGGGAGGGACAGGAGTCGCAGGGCCAAGCCAGGGACACTCACACCCAGAGGGAATTCGGAACACACATCACCGGGGAATTCCAGACGAGGGGGAAAGTGGGAGCTGTGTGGAACTGGAGCCCAGAAGGGAGAGGAGGAGGAAGGTCCAGACAGGAGCAGGACGGGCACCGAGGCTCTGCACAGGATGAGGGTAGTGGGGTCTGAGTATCACCCTGAACAGTGACCGGCTCTCTCTGGGTCGCTCCCCTGAAGAGGGCGTGACACCCATTGTATCCTTCCAGCCACCTGTTTGGGTGAGGCCCTGGGACAAGATCCTTCCCCAGGTTATCTCAGTGCCCCCGTGGCCCCCAAGAGGCAGCTGTTAGGTTGCCCTTCCCAGCGAGGAGAGTGAGGCTCAGGGGCAGATGGGGAGGGTCAGTCTGTATCCCAGGCTACCCTGAAGCCCAGGCCTCCGAGGTCATCAGGCAGGTCAGGGGCAGAAGGGCCGAGGACTGGAGTGTGGGGCTGGAGGCTGGAGCCTGGCCATGGAACTAGCCCCAGTGAGCACCCCCACCTCCTTCCCATGCTCCCCCAGCCTGTGGGCGCCCCAGGAGGCTGAACCGAATGGTGGGCGGGCAGGATGCGCAGGAGGGCGAGTGGCCCTGGCAGGTCAGCATCCAGCGCAATGGAAGCCACTTCTGCGGGGGCAGCCTCATCGCGGAGCGGTGGGTCCTGACGGCCGCGCACTGCTTCTCCAAGTGAGTCCCGCCTGCCCTTGCGCCCTCCCACAGCCGGTTCAGCACCGCGGACAGCGCCCACCGCGCCGCGTCTGCGGGTGACCTCCCTGGGGCGGGGGCTCCTGGTCCAGCACCGGCACCTTTCTAGCCAGAGGCTTTCCTCAGGTCCAACCCCAGGGATAACTTCCAGATGCAACCCTGCTCCTGCCTGCCTGCGGGAGGCACCTCGCACCCTCCTGACCCCTCCCATCCCTCCACCCTCTCCGTGCAAGTTCCGAGGGCTACCCGCCGGCCGGTCCTGGCCTCCCCATCCCGCACACCCCTCAGCTCCAGAACACTCTTCCTGGGCGAACTCTGTTCACAAAGCCCCAGGACTGGACAAAAAGGCCCTTCCTCCCCTCACCCACCTGAGCCACCCCAGCAAGCCCTGAGCCGAGGCCAGGCCACCTCGTCCACGTATAAACCACCTGGCCCCACACCTGCTGGTGTCCCAAGCCCCTCAACTCATACTTCACCATAGGTCTAATCCTTCTAAACCCTACGTCTCTTTTTTCTTTTTTTCTTCTTGATCTGCAAAAGAATGTCATGACGGAAAAACAAAAAACAAACAAAAAAAAAACCCGTATTTTAAATTCAGATACAGCCGGGCACAGTGGCTCACCCCCATAATCCCAGCAATTTGGGAGGCAAAGGCAGGCAGATCACTTGAACCCAGGAGTTCAAGACCAGCCTGGGCAACATAGCAAGACCGCATCTCTACCAAAAATTAAAAAGAAAAAAAAATAGCCAGGTGTGGTGGCGCCTGTGATCCAAACTACTCAGGAAGCTGAGGCGGGAGGATGTCTTGGCCCCGGAGTTGAGGCTGCAGTGAGCTGCAATTGTGCTGCTGCCCTCCAGCCTGGGTGACAGAATGAGAACTCTGTCTCTAGGGAAAAAAAATCCGCAACTCAGGCTGACAGAGGGCAGATCACTGCTGCACCTGCAGCGTGGTCCACTTCCAGCCAGCCTTGCAGGTAGGGATGGTGACTGTCCCTGCAGAACAGGTGAGGAAGCTGCGTCACAGAGAACTTGTTGGGTAACTTGCCCAAGGTCAGGCAGCGGCCAGGGGTGGAGGTGGAAATCGGAGTCGGGCAGTCTGGCTTCAATGTCAACACGCATCACCGCTGCACCTGACTGCCCAGAGAGGGCTCTCAGTCCGCAGAGATAGGTGTGGGGCATGGTGGCAGCCAGAGGAGCCGCCCCAGCCCCTCCCACGCCTGCCTCCACATGAGGGGCGACCTCACGTCGCCTCCTGCTTCTCTCACCAGCACCTCGGAGACGTCCCTGTACCAGGTACTGCTGGGGGCAAGGCAGCTAGTGCAGCCGGGACCGCATGCCATGTATGCCCGGGTAAGGCGGGTGGAGAGCAACCCCCTGTACCAGGGCATGGCCTCCAGTGCTGATGTGGCCCTGGTGGAGCTGGAGGCACCGGTGACCTTCACCAATTACATCCTCCCCGTGTGCCTGCCGGACCCCTCAGTGATCTTTGAGACGGGCATGAACTGCTGGGTCACAGGCTGGGGCAGCCCCAGTGAACAAGGTAAGGGGACAGGGCTGGGGCAGAATGGGGGATGTGCTTTAAGAAGGCCCAGGGTGGCTTGGGGGCCACTCTGAACCCACAATCTTCCTGTTGCTGTATTAATACATGCACACGGGACCAGGCACAGTAGCTAACGCTTGTAATCCCAGCACTTTGGGAGGCCAAGGTGAGCAGATCATGAGGTCAAGAGATCGAGACCATCCTGGCCAACATAGTGAAACCTTGTCTCGCCCAGGCATGGTGGCTCACACCTGTAATCCAAGCACTTTGGAGGCCAAGGCGGATGGATCACCTGAGGTTGGGAGTTCAAGATAAGCCTGACTAACATAGTGAAACCCCGTCTTAAAAAAAAAAAAAAGAAAGAAACCTCGGCGCTACTAAAAATACAAAAATTAGCTGGGTGTGGTGGTGTGCACCTGCAGTCCCAGCTACTAGGGAGTCTGACGCAGGAGAATTGCTTGAACCCATGAGGTGGAGGCTGCAGTGAGCTGAGATCTTGCCACTGCACTCCAGCCTGGTGTCTGGCGAAAGAGCGAGACTCTGTCTCAAAAAAAAAAAAAAAAAAAAAGTATACACACAGTCTCTCCTCACACAGGTGAGGGTCGGGGGAGTAGCAGCAGACCCGGAAGGAAGAGCCAGGGAAGGGAGAGGGGGACAGAAAGGGCCCAGCCTACTGCCCGGGAGGGAGGATGTCTGTCCCACAGCGCCCTAAGCCAGAGATGCCCTAAACACGACAAAGGCACAGGCCGGGCGGCGTGGTGGTTCCCGGGGGCTGTGTCCGCTGAGCCCCGGCTGCTCCGCCCCCACCCCCAGACCTCCTGCCCAACCCGCGGACCCTGCAGAAACTCGCCGTGCCCATCATCGACACGCCCAAGTGCAACCTGCTCTACGGCAAGGACGCCGAGTTTGGCTACCAACCGAAAACCATCAAGAGCGACATGCTGTGCGCCGGCTTCGAGGAGGGCAAAAAGGACGCCTGCAAGGTGGGGGCTCAGCCCTGACCTCCAGGCCCAGGGCAGCGTGGGCTGCGCATTCAACCAGCTGAGCAGCTCGCTTTGGAAAAGCAGCTTCCTGGACCTCACCCAGGAGGGTCAGAGTCAGCGGGTCTGGGGCAGGGCACAGGAAACGGCATTTTCAACACACACACCCCCGCTAGGTGATCTGGGGAGAAATGGGCACTCTAGTCAATCGGATTGGCAGGGGAGGGGAGCCGGGCAGGGAGGCTCTGTGATGGGGAGGAGTCCAGTGTGGAGCCACAGGCCTACTGTGCAGCTGCAACTGAGTCTCTGGGAACGCAGGGTGGGCTCTGACGGTGCCTCTGTGTTTCCCCCACCCCCGCAGGGCGACTCGGGCGGTCCCCTGGTGTGCCTAGTGGGCCAGTCGTGGCTGCAGGCTGGAGTGATAAGCTGGGGTGAGGGCTGCGCCCGCCAGAACCGCCCAGGTGTCTACATCCGTGTCACCGCCCATCACAACTGGATCCACCGAATCATCCCCCAGCTGCAGTTCCAGCCGGCGAGGTCGGGCAGCCAGAAGCGAGACCCCCGGGGGCAGGAGCCCCTCGAGCGGAGCTCTGCGCCCAGCCTGGCTGCCCACACCATCCTGCTGGTCCTTCCAGCGCTGCTGTTGCAGTTCTGAGCCCCATCAGGCTCATTTGTAAATATCGCTTCTTTCTCCCTCTCAAATATTATTTTATTTATGTCCTTTCCAATAAAAACCCAGCCTGTGTGCCGGCTGCCCACATGGGGATCCCTGCGGAGCGCCGGGGACGAGGAACTCTGACCTGCAGGGCAAGGCCGTGAGGGCTCCGGTCAGCTCTGAATCAGCGGAAGGGAACTGCAGCTGGCTCCCAGGTTGACAACAGCACCGAACCATGGGACCCCCTGTCCTGGGCCCCACACAGGAGGCCACTTGCTGCCACCTGGGCCTCCATTCCCTCACCTTGAGGGCTGCCCCAGAGTGGGCACTGGGGACAGCAACAGACACAGGTGGAAAGACCCTCAGGGCCATGCAGGAGCTGTCTGGCGGGGTGGTGAGGAGGGCCTGGAGGGGTGGCTCAGCCTCCCAAGCCTGCACTTCTGGCTGCCCGCGTCTCGGTGCCACCCAACTTCTCCATGCCATCAGCAGGAGTGGTGACAGCTGTCCCCTTGGGCATGTGCCCACACCTGTGCTTTTCTGCCCCACTGCTCCTGGCACCCTGGGTCTCCCTGTGCCCCATCCTTCAGTCTCCACCCCCATTCGGGAGTCCAGAACAGCACATCGTGGGGACAGGCTAGACTGGACTGCACATGAGTACATCACACCCATACACACACACACACCACACACATACACACCCGTGCACACAGGCACTGCGGCCTGCACAGCGCTGGGAAGAAAGCAGGCCTGAGTCTTCACCAGTCAATCAAATTGACACCTACTCAGTAAGCAGCTGCCTGGGGACCGGCCCTAGGAACACCCTGATGGGCCCAAACCCACCTCCCCACAGCAGCCCGGTGCCCCCATTTCTTGCACGCCTTCTGCAGTCCAGGGGTGGGCAGGCGGGTCTGGGGGACCCTGTGTGCACAGCCTCTGGGGAGCAGATGCGTGAAGTCCAGGTGGAGGTGGAGGGCAGGACCAGGGAGCAGCACTGGGTGGTCCTAGCCAAGCAGTCACTGGCCAAGTCTTGCAGCCTCAGAGACCCCTGGGTGAACCTGTGCCCTGCTCTGGGCTGTGTAAGGAGCTCCAGACCCAGAGGTTAGGGGGATGCTACAGGTTAGATGGTCTCAGGAGGGCTGCCCCTACTGTCTCTGTGCTGAGACCCCACCCAGACCCAAGAGGTCAACAGGCAGATGCCCGTGGGAGAGGGGCAGAAAACGCCCTCCGCTGAGACCAGCGGGTGAGGAGGGAAACCAAGTCCATTCCACGGAAAACGCCCTCCGCGGAGACCAGCGGGTGGAGGGAAACCAAGTCCATTCCACGGAAAACGCCCTCCGCGGAGACCAGCGGGTGGAGGGAAACCAAGTCCATTCCACGGAAAACGCCCTCCGCGGAGACCAGCGGGTGAGGAGGGAAACCAAGTCCATTCCACGGAAAACGCCCTCCGCTGAGACCAGCGGGTGGAGGGAAACCAAGTCCATTCCACGGAAAACGCCCTCCACGGAGACCAGCGGGTAAGGAGGGAAACCAAGTCCATTCCACGGAAAACGCCCTCCACGGAGACCAGCGGGTGAGGAGGGAAACCAAGTCCATTCCACGGAAAACGCCCTCCGCGGAGACCAGCGGGTGAGGAGGGAAACCAAGTCCATTCCACGGAAAACGCCCTCCGTGGAGACCAGCGGGTGAGGAGGGAAAACAAGTCTATTCCGTGCAAATAACAGCCATGATGCTTGCTCTGAAAGGACGTTAGAAGGGACCAGTCCAGGTTGCCACAGGTTCCTTTTTCACTCTGGGGCGGGGGTGCAGCACAGACTTTGCACACTGCTGCCAAGCAGGGCCCTGAGCCATCTGCCAGGTGGGTGGCAGCAGGGCCCCCACCAGCTCCAGGAGGAACTCGAGGGAGCCTAGCACAGCTCTGTGCACGCTCTGTGGCTCCCAGGGAGGCAGGCAGAGCGGGCGGCAGCCTTCATTCCCAGGCTCAGCCGGGCCCATGTGCACACGTACACACACACATCACATGCACACACACACCCATGCCACATACAAAAAACACGTACACACACATGCACATCACACACCACACACACACACCACACCCATGCCACACATACAAAATATGTGCACACATGCACGTCACACACACCACGCCCCACACCACACATCACATGCACACCACACCCATGCCACACAAAACATGTGCACACACATGCACACCACACACATGGTACACCACACCACACATGCACACACCTATGCACACATAAAACACGTGCACACACATGTACATCATCACACCCACGCCACACCCACACGTCACACATGCCATATGCCACACATCACAACCACAAAGTACACCTGCATGCCACACACACACACACACACACACACACACACACACACACACAGTAGGAGCCCCGGGAAAGAAGTCTGGGCTTGCTTCTGGCCAGAACTCTGGTGAGGGGTCAGCCACAGGCCGGCCCTCCCTGTGCTGAGCCCTGGGCCCAGGAACATTGGGGAGAAAGAGGTAGTCCCATCTCAAGGGTCACGGCTTAGTGCAGTGGTGCCAGAGGGTGCCATCCCTCACACAGATGCCACGTCAGGGTCTTGGTGGGTGGTTGCACTGTGGAGTCAGCTCTCCATGGCCCCAGCCGGCCACTGCCACCAGCTCTGGGAGGACGGAAGGTGTTAGAAGCCCCTGCAGAGTGAACACCAATAAATTCAGGGGCACCAAGGAGGGTGGTGCCAGCCCCTTGAGGGCTCCAGTCATGGGCTCTGCAGGAGGCCCGGGGGCCGGGCACTCACGGGTGGCATTTGCATGTGCCCCACCCCTACCTCCTCTTCACCCTTCAAGCCAGCTTCCTGGAGCTACAGGGCTGGGCCCTGGCCTCCCGCAGTGGGCAGGCTGTGCTGGGGCCCGACGTCTGAGGAGGAGTAAGGCTCCCTCCTCGCCCAGCAGTCCGAGCAGCCCCGAGCGTCCCTGGCTATAGGACCCAAACTGCACGACCTGTCTCCTTCCCAGCCTTTTGTCAGGATGGGAGAGCTGCTCTGGGCTTTGGCTGGGGCACCTGCCATGCTGAGGCCTCTCCCAATAGCCCACAATGCCTAGGCCTTGATGCCTAGCCACGCTGCTGGTGAAAGTAGGGGGGGTAGGAAGACCCCTTGGAGCAGAATCTGGGTCCCTCCTCCACTCCAGTCCCTGTACCTGGCCTCATACTGGGCACCCAGAAGCCCAGAAGCCCAGTCACCCACGACAGTCCTCACAGGGCCCCAGGGTCAGACTGGGCCGGCCACACACCTGGAAACAGGATGGGCAAGGCCACTACAGACTGAGGCTCCGTGACCTCAGGCCCTGGGGGACACTGAATGGGAATCTCCCTGTCGGGGAAGGGAGTTCAGCCACCAAGCCTTCTCAGAACAGCCACCACGAGGAGTCACAGCACTGGGGAGGGGGTGCCGGGAACCCCGGACCTTCTCAGGAATCTCCCGCTGAAGGGAGGGAAGAGAGGGAAGAGAGGTGGACGCTGACTTGAAGTATCAGGACTTTCAAAACGCATCACTTGAGCAGGTCGCAACGGCTCACACTTGCCATCCCAGCTGCTCCAGAGGCTGAGGAAGGATTGCTTGAGCCCAGCAGTTCAAGGCCAGCCTGGGTAACATAGCAAGACCCTTGCCTCTTAAAAAAAAAAAATGTCCTTGTACACGGTCTCTGGTCCCCTGGGATGGGGTGTGATATCTGCAGGAGGCAGCTGAGGCGCCCAGGGCCAGTGGGACGCAGGGATGGGTGTGCAGCCCTGATCCGGTGGCCCGGCCAACACCCTGTGGACAGTCACATGGATGGCCTGGCTCCACCCCAGCAACCGACTGAGAGGCAGAGCCCTGTGTGGGCCGTGCCGGCCAGTGGGGACGTGCGGCATGGAGGGCAGTGCCTTGGTCCAAGCGGCACTTGGGGTGGCATTTCTTTGCATCTTAAGACCATTAACAGCTGCTACGTTGATTCATAAATACACAATTTTATTTGCTATTTCCAGGGGAAACTTAGGCATTAAACTGTAAGCTGATAAAATACAATACCTAAAAAAGTATAAAAGTATAAATATCCCCTTAGAATAAATTTTAGTGAATTAAGTCTTAATATCTTTAAATTAAAAAAACCACAAGCCTATCTACTATGTCAAGGTCAAAAATGAAACACACTAAGAGGCCAGCGGCCCCCCAGAGAGGACGCCCAGGACCCCCATGGCCGCCTTCCTCCCGGGCTCTGCTGGGGAGGACAGAGTCGGCCGTGGCTACGTCTGCCCTCTAGAAAGGCTTTTATAAACCGTTTAAGCCAAACATTTAACATACGAGAGACCTTACAAAGGAGGAGGTAAGTCCTAATGCTGGAGAACTGGTTAATCGGGTGACTGGCAAAGAGGATGAGGCCTAGGCAGGAAGTCTCCGGAAGCACTGGCAAGACAGTGTCAGCGCCTCTGACCTGCACGCCGGCAGCTGGCAGGTGGTCTGCACAGCGCCCCTTGGGAAGCCAGAGTTCCAGAAGCAAAGCGCTTGGAGCCCGTCCTGCACGCCAGGTCCCCAGACTCTGACAGGTCCCGACAGCCAGCTGAGAAAGGTCTGTTTTCAAAGCATGCGGGCAGCAGTTTCTAAAGGAATCCCAGCAGCTCCCAAGTCATGGCGGGCAGAGCCCGTGCAGGTCGAGTGGAGTCCCAAACGTCCCAGAAAGAGGGAAGGCTGCATAGTTACAAGAAAGTGAGAGCGGCCAGGGAGAGGCGTTTGTGATGCTCTGTAAACATCCCGGGTTTTCACCGTGACCCAGACCTTCAGCTCCAGAAGCCAGCAGACGGGCCTCCAGCCCAACCTCTATGCCAGGCGCTACAAGGCACTGACGGGCACCAGCTCCCCGTGAGCCTGCGGTGGGAGGCTGAGGCGACACCGCCGCCTCACGCTAACGGGTGGAACAGATCCGTCTCCACGCAGCAAACCCTGTGGGCGTTTCCAGAGTAGAAACACTGGGGAGTCTATCCACACGGAAAAGGGGCACAAAGTTCTCTCGCCTGGAAAATACAAATTGAGAAGCCTTGACTATCCCGGGCTTGGTTGGGCAGGGTCAGGGCCGGTGTCGGAAGGAGGCCCGGCCTCGGAATGTGCCGGGAAGCAGTGACGACGAAGCAGCCGCCTTTGTCAGGAGCTCTGCGAGGCTGAGAAACCAGCGGTCCCACCTGGGAGGCAGAGCAGACTCCCTGACTGAGACTGGGGCCTGGCAGCCAGACCAGAGGCCACGACGCACTGGACCCCGACGAGGCTGCGGCCGCTGCCTGCCTGTGAAGCTCAGGCTGCTTTTCCAGACTGTGTGTAGCACCAAGAACGCTTCCTTCACACGATCTTCAGGATCGAGCAGGCTGACCTGACCGGGAGCGTCTGCCTCAGTCCCACATGGCACTTGAAAAAAACAGAGCGAGGCCCCCACCAGAGGCAGCGCCCACCCAGCCGCTGCGCTCCCCCTACTTGGGGACGTCTGGCTTCGGACAGCTGGGCCGTCTCTCACCACCCACCTCAGAGGCAAAAAAGGATTCACACCCAGATCTCTAGAAAAATGATCAAAAGCAGGTTTCTTCTCACAGCCAAGCTTCCTGGACATGGCGGTTCATTGCTTCTTGGGAAAAAGTAAATCATTTCTTCAGCTGTCATTACTGTGCCCCTCACATCCTTGAACCTCGTTCTTGCAAAATCTGAAAAACACCACAGGCAGAAAATGAGGACTCAGGCCCTGGATCGGGGAGGTGGCCCTGAGCAGGCGCCTGCTCCAGAGAACAGAGCCCACAGGCCCAGAGTCAACTCGAAGGGTCCCTGCACTGGGGAACCAAACACTACTGGCCAGGGTCTTGGGGACTCAGCCGGCAGGCCCAGGACCTACACACTGGGGCGGCCGGCGCATCTCCAGGCCCCACACAGAGAGCACTCACTGTGCCCAGTGGCTCCTCCCAGGCCCACCTGACAGGTGCTAACTGTTGAGCCTCTTAGCCTGCTCAGTCCTGGGCCTCAGACGTGAAGTACTACTCGGCCCTGGGGTCCCTCAGCAGTCCCTGCTCCCCAATTCAGAGACCCCTCCATTTCCTATTCCCACTGCAGCCCCTACCCCGACGCCTGGATCCTTTTGGGGATGCTCCTCACCCAAGCCCTCGGCCCTACACCTTGGCCTGGCCAGCCCACCTCGTGCGCTGGCCCTACCCGGATGCCCCATGGAACACACACCAGCCCTCAGAGGCCCTACCCTAAGTGCAGATCACACTGTGGGCATCCCCTCCTCATCCGGACCACGTTAGCTCTGCAGAGCCCACTGGCCCTTGGCCCCCTGCCCTCCCCACCCTCTGACCCCCTCAAAGCTCCTCCTCAGGGCACCCTCCCCACTTCCCTCACCAGCCATCCAGGAACCCGCTGAGGCTTCCCCCAAGTTGGGCTGCCAGCTCCTCAAGGCCTGGGTCTCTCTGAAGACAGGCTCAGACAGCCCCAGGGACCAGGCAGAGGGAACCAGACCAGCCTCACTGTGTGCAGCCCACAGCTGTCTCCAGGCATCACGTGAGGGCCGAGAAACACCCCATGGGGCAGCAGCACCCAAGCCCTGGCTGGGCACAGCCTTGCAGAGGTCACTGCTATGCTGCACTGACCAGAAAGTGGGCGGTGGTAAGGGGTACTTGCCACTGCAGGCTTCTTCCAAGGCTCTCGGAGGCCATGTCCCCTGAGCCCGACACTCCATCCCCAACAGCTCTCCCGTTCCCAGGCGGGTGCCCCCGACGCTCAGTACCCTGAGTTACTCTCAACTCGAGGCTCCCACTCAGTCTCCTGCACCTCAGAAGGAGCCCGTCCTGCTGTGCCAGGGCAGCACAACCCTCCCTGGACCAGGGTGATTCCCAAGCTTACTGGGATGTGGAAGTGACGCGGGGAGACCATTTGGCCCTCCTGGTGATGTGCTGAGCCCTGAGCTCTCACCAGCCCCGTGTAAAACAGCAGTGCAGCAGACAGGCCGGGAGCAGCGTGGCATCCCGAGTGCCCAGGAGCCCGACAGCTCCCTCCCGACGATGGCAGGAGCCCCTCCAGAGAACTGCAGTTGAAGTGCTGTCTTTCACCCTGAGGCCGGGGGCAGCACTGGCTATGACACACGGAGCCTGGGGCGAGACCCATGTCCTCTGGACACACTCTCGCCCTGGGCCATCTTCCGCAGACACCAATCAGGGGCCCTCAGGGCTGCAACCCATGGCCAAGCACGCCAACAGGCAGCCCGGGTGGCCAAGGGGCTTGCAGGGCATGGCTGGCCTGGGAGGCCTCAGCACAGCAGGGATGTTTCGGGCTTTGGCAGCTGAGATTGGGGTCTGCTGTCTGCTGTACTGGTCATGACCCCTTGGCGCTGAGCCTGTGTCCTGAGCCAGACAAGGTCACCCACTAGGGCTGGCAGTGGGAGTGGCACTCCCTGCCCACCCCCCAGGAGAAACTCCTGTGTTCACGCCCACTGACATCCACAGCCTGGCCTGACACCGGTGCCCTCCACTCATCCCCACAAACACCACAACACTGCCCCTGGGCGCCTGCCCCACAGGCACAGCCCCATCCCCACAGGAGTGCTACTGTGGGTCTACAGCGGGAGTGTGGAGGGCTCTCGTCAACTACAGGCAGGGACAGACACACAGGGAGGGTCTGCGTCAAGGGTCAGCTAGGGCCACAGGGTCAAGGAGGCCACGGAGCTCACCATGACATTCACACTTAATCTGAGCCACTCCCTGGGTGCCCCTCGTCCTCGTCGTCACTCTGGCAGCGTGCAGCGTGCAGCGGGGGAGAAGACAGGCTGTCAGGATGGTGTGGGCGGGTGCGCGCCCTGGGCCCAGGCCCCCCATGGCCGGTGACCCTCCGGTGAGGCCACGCCATGAGGGAACACACAGGCTCAGGGGCTCCGACACTTCTCAGAGGTGCGGACTCCCCTGTGTGAGGCAGCCTTGTTTCGCAATCTGGGCTGGCTCTGTCCCAGTGCTTGCTGAGGGGCTGAACCCTGTCCAGAGGCGCCTGGCCTCTGGCCCCACTCCTGGCAGGCAGCACTGCCTGCTGCCCGGGGCTACATGAACCCCACTGCATTGACCCCAGTGCTCTGGGAGAGAGGGTGGGGCCCCGCGTCCGAGGAGTAAGACTGGGATCAGCCACGGGGACAGCTGGTGGATCCACCCATCGAGTGTGGCTATGGGTTGGAGCCCCAGAAGCACTCGGGAACCCCCTCCTCAGCCTCAAGGGCACTCCCCGACTCCAGGGGAGACCCTGACCTCTGCCCAGTCACTTTCCCTGGCTGATCTGAGCCCATCTCTCTCTGTTCCTTGGGAATAAATGGTGGCCCCACGTCTAAGAGCTTTTGGTGAGCTGTGCAAGTCCTTCTAGCAAGTTTCTGAGGGGCTGGTGTGGAAAGCAGGTGTGCTCATGTGTGGACTGCCTTCACCTGCAACAGGTGCGACCCCTTGCTCCCACCATAGCTGATTGAAGCGGGGGATGGGTACCCAGCAGCGCCAGGCCATACACACTGCAGGGACACTGGGGACGAGGGCCTGCAGACCATGCTGCCTCGCTCAGCCCGACCACCCTCAGGTGCCCCCATCACGGTCCTCCAGCTCTGGCTCCCCCAGTTCCTCACGGCTTTCTGAGGCCCTGGCCTAGCTCTGCTCCTGGGCGCTGCTGCAACACCCCCATCAAGAAGCCGCCGCGGCTGCCCCACTTCAGAGCAGGTATTTTTGGAAAATGAAATAGGGTCATATTCTCAACTGCAAAGGGATCTGGGGTCATGCGTGGAGCTTCCTCACAGCACAGAGCATGTCCTTTTTGCAGCTGCCAAGCCACCTGAGGGGTAGGACCCCTGGGGAGCTTGGTTATGAAAACTCAGCTCAGAAATAAAAAATGTCTAAAAATAAAACCATTTAGAAAAGGGCCCCACGATTGCCCCAAGGAGAGAAGTCCCTCCTCTTGACGGAGCTGGGGCTCAGGGAGCCAGGGGTCGCCTCCTAGGCCCCAGACTCAAATGAAAGAGCATCCCCAGGCCTGGTGGTGGAACCCCAGCTTCCAGCCCTGCTGTCGCGAACCAAGCCTGCCCAGCCTACACTGCCCCAGCCTCGAGGCAGGAGCAGGACTGACCTCTGCCCATAGCAAGAATGCAACGGGCAGCCCACGAGGAAGCCAGGACAGTCGCCCGTGGTGGGGAGGCTGCTGTGACCAGGCCGCAGGCCTCCGGGAGACATGCTTCGTGGTCCTGCCCCTGTTCCCAAGGGTATACCTCCAAAGCCCGACCCAGAGAGGCTCACCGGTACAGTCCTGGGCTGCTGGTGGCTGGCCAAAGGCCCCTGGCCAAGAGTCTGCGGTTTTTCAGGTGTCCCTGGTATAATCCCACTAGTTAAAAGCCTTCTGGTTCTGGCCTCTGATGGCATCCACTCAGAATACCCTTTGCCAAAACACTGAGCCTTCACCAGGGTCACTGGTGAGCCCAGGGCTCACACCCCAGGCTGGCTGCCCACAGAGCTGGCCCCACCATCCAGGCTCTCCCAGACCCATGCAGACCCCAGGAGTTCCCAGAGAGCAGGCCACCAAGGGCTCTCCAGCCACCACGTGGCTCTGGGGTCTGGGAGTCCTGCCAGGTAGAGCTGGCCCAGGCCAAGGCTGGAATCTGCTCACATGGATGCATCTGTCCATCTTGGAGCCTCAACCTTTAGAACATACCCAGAGAAAATGCCACCAGAATGGGTCACCCGTGGGCAGGGCCATGGGGCCATTCTAAAAGTAAACAAGGCAGGGATCCCTGTATTTCACCCCAGCTGCCCAGCCCTCAGAAAATAGACGGGCCTGAGCCCCCGCAGAGTCTATGCCGGTGCTGCCAGGCTGGGTGCCACACAGGGCCCCACTCTGTGCAGCCTGAGAATCCCAGGGCCGGCACTGGCTGAGCCAGGGGGCCCACCTGGCACTCAGGAATGGCTCAGACTCCCACCACACAACAGCCGGACCCCCACATCCCTGAACTCAGGGATGGGCCCAGACACCCACCATGACAGCCAGGCCACAATGTCCCAAGTCCTCACACACCAGAGGCTGTGCCCTGGGAACATAGGACTCTGGGTCCCCTGAGACACAGCCCTCAGTGGCATTCCCGCAGGGGCTTACTGGGAGCCTGGGTCTAGAGGCCTCGTCCCACGGAAGACCATGCCTCCGAAAAGTCAGCAAGGTCACCAGGGGCGGAGACAGGGGCTTGATGAAAACGGCAGGAACAGAGGAAGCTGAGAGAGGGCAGGAACCTTCCCCATCCGCCAGGCCGCCCCAGCACTGACCTTGGCCTTCTCGCTGGGCTCGCTGGCTGTACCGTACGGGGTGTTGTGCAGCTCCTTGGACACCACGCAGAGGAACTCCGCTTGGTCTTCATTCCCATAGTTGTAAGAGGAGCCGATGCTGACCAGCTGCAAGGGAGACACAGCCCGAGATGCAGCCCAGTGAGGCCTGAGAGGGACGTGGCCCAGCTGACACATCCAGGCTCAGGACGCGCCTGCCACCGCAAAAGCCACAGAGAAGACCGCCGACACTTGAGGAAACCAATGGAAAACCACTTCCTGGAACACCCGCATGAGCACACACAACGGCACCCACACCGGGGCGGGGCACAAGCCAGGTCCTCCTCTGCGGGGACACCAGGCTTTCCTTGGCACTTCTAGACGGGCAAACAGGGGCCGCTGCCAATGGAGAGGGAACGCAGAAGGGTCCCTGAGCTGGGTCGGAGGGAGAGGGGCAGCGGGAGGGGAGTGGAGGGCAGCTCTGAAAACCTGGAGGGAAGAGCAGGGGACTTGGCTGACAGGACCAAAAGCCGCCGAGGAGCTGTGCTGTCCGGAGTTCAGCCAGGGTGGGTCTGCTGCAGCCGGCTGGGCACACCTCAGGCCACTCTAACCTGCCTCCCTCTGTGTCACCAGGCAGGCCAGGCCATGCAGGCCCAGGGCCGACCCCTCTCTGGCGAGGCATCTGACCCATGGGTGGCTACCCCAGGCCACAGGGCACTTCTGTGCTATTGAAGGGAAAATTAAAAGGCAATATGCAAATCATGGTAAGCAGGCCAGCAGCAAATGACCGAGCCAAAAAGCAGCTGGTTGGTGCTCACACTTTGGCCTCCCTACCTATGACCTGCATGGTCGGACCAATGGCCAGGAAGGGGGCCTGGGGCTACCTGCTGTTCCTGTGTGGCTGCTGACAGTGGACCCAGCCCAGTGAGGCAGCCACAGAGGTGCTGGCATGGGGCCAAGCAGCTAGGAGTACCCACTTGGGAGCACTCACGGCCACGGCCACTGAGCCCCTGCATCCTGACAGGCACGTCGGCCACTTTCAAGCCTTGCTCGCAGTCCCAATGACCACTGGAGACCCTGGGTCCGGTCTGGCCACCTCCCAGGACCCCCCAGGGTCCCGCCCACAGCCAGGGCAGCTGGTCAGCCCAGCGGCTTCTCTACATGAACCAGGAGGGATGAAGTCTGTCATGTGGGTCATAAGGAAGGGGGAGGACACCAGCTCCACCCAGAAGCACTGAGGACAAAGATCTGAGCTGCCCCGGGGAGGGGCAGGTGACCACCACGGGCAGGAGATCTCGCTCCCTCCCAGCTAGGAAAGTCACAAGGTAGTGGCAGAAGAGCACAGGTGTTCTCGGTCCCCGAACTGATGACATGGCTTCCCAGGTACCCAGCCCCACCAAGGGACAACTGGGAGGTGGGGCTCGCTGGGCAGGAGCGATTTCCGTTCCTGTGTGAGGCTCTGGCACGATTCTGATGCGGTCAGAGCATGAGAAAGATGTGGCCCCCAGTGCAGGGCAGCCCGGGCCAGCGAGCTGCTCCATCAGCACAAACACCCAGTCACCAAGCCTGGGGGGCCAGCATGGATGGTGGGACGCAAATGTCTTTAGTGACATTTTAAGGGGCGCTCCAAGTACCCTACAATGTGTTATATTATTTTGAAAGACTCAAAGGAAAGGGACACTAGCTGAGCCTGTCCCTCCCACAGCCTTGGAGGGCCACGGGGCCATGGACAGAACCTGCCCTAGACAGAAGCAAGTGACAGAGGACACTGTCACTGTCCCCACCCTGTCTGCCTAGCATCAGCAACAGTAGGAACAGTGGCACCCAGATCGTGGGCATGGGCCCCCAGTCAGAGGTCATCCTCACATGTCCTGAGGTCCCCAACGACGACAGGCCACAGTGCCACAGCACAGTGGCTCCTATGGAAGCTGCCGGAGAAGGCGAGCCCTGCACAGATCCCTCAGCCCCACATGCCGTAGCTCAGCCAAACCAGAGTGAGAAGGCAACAGGGACCTGGCAGTGCCTTCCTGCGAAGACAGGAAGGGGAGGCAGCTTGAGAAGGGCGTCAGAGCATCCATCTGTTCCACTGGAGTGAGCTGCAGGGGACGGGGCTGCGTTGGGTGGTAGGCCGGCCACGAGGCTCTGGGGACGCCAATCCCCCCGACACACAGAGGTGCCAGGTGATACACAGAAAGTGCAGTGTGGGAAGAAGAGGCTGAGTGAGAAGGGCTGCAAACGGCAGGCCGGGGAGGAGGGGAGGGTGTGGGGCAGGGCCTGAGACACCTCTGCCCACCCCGCCCAAACTCCCATGGCTCTTCCAGTGGGAACAGGACACAGGACACTGTCGTGAGCACCCCCAGAACTGCAGAAGGACACCAGCAGCGAAGCCCACATTTCCAGGGGCACTGAGCCCTAAGCCAGTGTGAGTAAAAGTCCAGCTGCAGCGTGGCTGCCGTCAGCCTGGCAGGGGCCTCACCTGCTCAAACTTCCAGCCGTCTGACATGGTGGACACCATCTGTGTGAGCTCCTCCTCCTGGCACTGAAGCACGCGGTACACATGCTTCACGGGCACCTGCAAAAACAACGGGCCACACAAGTCCCGCTGCTGCCTGTGTCCAGCCCCGGCGACCCGGGGAGCTGAGGTCCACCCTCCAGTTCTCAGTGCAGGGCTAGCGGCCCAACGCAACCCTAAGCACATCCACAAAAGCAAAACACGAGGCCCGAACAGCTGCTGTTTTCTGCTTCCTCGTTCGCCTCCAAAAATATTTCTATTTCTAAGTTCCAAAATAAAATGAGTCATGTTCCTGAAATCCCGAGAGCACCTGTGGCTCGACATGACGACGCGAGAGCGTCCATATCTGCTCTGTACGCAGGAACCACGCAGCCCTGAATTGCTGGGCGGGGAAAGGCTCGGGCAGGCAGGGCTCTGGGAACCAGCACCAGACAAAGCTCGCTCCGGCTACAAGAAAAAGGCTCCTGAAGCCGCACAGCAGCCTGGACTCCGGCCTCCCCAAGGCTGAGCCGCTTCCAGAACTCCATCCACCTCCTCATGCCCCACCTGCCTGGCACGCTCGCTGTGCCCTCCATGCAGCTGGAGTGATGGTGAGACACCAGCCCGCCCACCTGCATGGAGCTGCTCCCCAGGGGGCAGGGCGGGCCCACGTCCCAGACACAGTCGTTCCGAAGGACACAGTGATTATGGAGGCTGCAGACAGGGCTGGACGGACACACAGCAGTGAGGAGAAGGGGTTCATGGGTCTTGGATCCTTGACTTTAAGGTGGTGACTCAGGCCAGGGATGCATGAGTGACAAAGGCACACCGTGGTCTTGAGGCCACATGCCTGACTGCTTTCTTCTGCAAGGCGGTAAGATGCTACTGTGTGTCACTGCAAGCCTGGACTGCAAAAACTCTGCACCTGTGTCGTATCCCTGCCCACCTGGGTCACACGGGTGGGGAGACTGGGGCAGGGAGTTTCCACGCAGCCCGGGTCGCACAACAGGGAAGGAGGCAGACTGGACAAGGTGGCCAGGGGCGCAGGACACAACTCCTGCCCCACAGACAAGGAGTCCCTCCAGATCCCTGAGTGGCGCCAAGGGAGCTGCAGCAGGATGGGGGACTAGGCAAGTTGCTAGGTGGCCAGCGGCCCTGAGCAGCCAGGATAGGAGCACAGGGTCTGGGGCTCTAAGTGGACCTAGCTGCTTCTAATGGAGCTGCACCCGCGGTGTGGCCCACGCCCGCTCCCAGTGCCTTTCGGAGGGAGCTGAGCTGGGGGGTGGGCTCAGCTCTCAGGGACAGGAGTGACGCCCAAGGCCCAGAAGGCCCAGCCCACTCCAACCACCCGGGCTCCCTGGGATGCAGAGGGGCTGCGCTGGCTCTGAGGGGCCTGCCCGTGGGACCCACCCTCTCTTCCCAAAGAAGCCAAGGTCCTTCTGACACCCACGCAGAAGCACACAGCCCCCTCTGCTGTCTCCCTCCTGCCATGCTGGCCTCGGCCCTTGACACCCTCTGCTCCCTACTGGATGTCCTCCCCTCCCTCATGGGGCCCTCCTGCCCTCCACACGTCTCCCATGCCCAGCTCCCCTGCAGCCATCCTTTGGGGACTCCGTGAGGCTGGGCTGGGCAGGGTCCTTCAAGGGACCCTGGGGAGAGGCTGGTAGCTAGAGCTGGCGGGCTGCAGGGCGGTGACAGAGGACAACAGTCTCAGGGTGGGAGAGCCCCAGTCCACAGGCCTCATGTGGGAGGTGGCTCAGGGAATTGAGGGGGAGCCGCGCCTCCACACCAGGCCATGGAAGCTTCCAGCATCAGTCACTTGGCTCACCTGTGATGTTTTGCTGTCTCGTTCTCTAATTTTGTCCTTTACAAGTTTTATTAATGAGGTGATATTATAAAATTCTGCTTCCTCCAACACTCCTGCAATAAACAAAAATAACTTGTCTTTACCAGGCCAAACTAAACCAAAGAATCCACACTTCACGGCCGCCCCTGCCCCTGCCCAGCGGGAGCCGCTCAGGCCCCACCCTAACAGGCTTCCCACAGACGCAATGGCCCAGTGGGGCTCCCAGGATTACGAGTGGAGGAGCCGTGGTGAGAGCGCCGGTGCGTGGACTAAACACCTCTCGAACAGGTCACCCCAGACAGCCTCGAGTAACCTCAGGTGGTCACCTGGGTACGGCACCCCTGGTTCCACAAGCTCAGCGCACGTCTACACTGAGGCCATGGCATGCCGGGGTTTGGGGCTGGCATTTTCCCTCTAAGCCTGGAGGCTGACGCTTCCTGCTGCGAACCTGCTCATGGCCACACCACTGGGTGGGGGGCCGTGTGGGGCTCAGGCCTGTGGCCTTGTACATGTGTGTGAGCCACGTGGCACCTCAGTTTACCCCATTGAAAGGGAAGACTGTGGCTGGCAGAGGGTCACTTCCAGCTCTTCCCAAACACTGCCATCTGTAATGTGCCATATTTAGGGACTGCAAATCCCCCTGAAGAACTTTAAAGAGCAGAATCCACAGGCCGTCTTCATTCCTCCAGGACCCCAGAGAAACCCACACGTGGGACATGGCAGCTCAGGAAATCACCCAGCGACCTACATGGGACAGAGCTGCAGGGGACAGGGCCACGCGGGACAGAGTCAAGGGGCTCAGTGTCACAGGCTTCCTGCCCCCACATGGACCCTGCACAGCCCCCTGCTCCAGCACTGAGGGTGTGGCCTGAGGGCTGCTCACTCCAGCGGACGCTCGAGTGCTGGGCTTCCAGCCTTAAGACCGGCTGCGTCTGGGGCTAGTTAGAGGGGGGCCAGTGAGCCTGGGTGGCAGGCCCTTCCTTGGTCTGTGTCTAGCACCTGTTTCTGAGCCAATCCCACTGGGGACAGACTAAGATAAATCGAAACCTGGACTCGAGGGGCTCCAAGGGCAGCCCAGGTGGCGCGAGAGAGCGTGTGAAAGACATTCCCAGCCAGAGGACACAAGTGGGCAGCATGGGTCACAGCCTCAGAGCAGGGGCAGGGAAAGGCTGGGCCACAGCCCTGTGTGAATTCGGAGGCAGGCAGACACCAAGGCCCGTGGGCCTAGAGAAAACAACGGAGTGAGAATCAGCAAGAACCGAGACCAGACTCATGTGCCCACATGGGCTCAGGGAAGCAGGCCCATGCCTGCACACAGCTGCCCAAAGACCCTCAGCCTTCGGAGTGCAGCCTCAGGCTCCTCTGAGCCAAGCCAGCACTGCAACACACAGGCAGGCCAGCCTGGGCCCAACGCATGTGGCGCCGTCCCTGCACCACGACCACTCGGAATGTATCACGGCAGCCGGCAGCGGCAGGCACTGTCCAGGTGATGGCACAGAGACACTCACCACCCTTGGGCTGTCCTTGAGGGAGAGTGGGCCAGGGCGCCAGGGCCCTGAGGCACACCATGGGCGTTAGTGGGCATGTCCCTCACACACCCGCTCAGACCACCTCGGTCACAGCAGGGAGAAGCCCCTCGAGGCCTGTGTCACCAGCCAGAGCCTGGAGACAGGCAGTCGTCCAAGGTGCTGCAGCCAGGGAGGACTCCACGGCCACAGTGGTCCTCACACCTCCCTGCCCAGCAGCTGTGCTGCGGCCTGTGGCCCCTGGGAAAGGTCGGCCGAGGGATCGAGAGACCCCAGCTTTGGAGTGCAGGGCCTGCTCCTCCATGGGGGCCCAGGCTGGTGGCGAATGCATCTTAAGTGGAGCCCTTGGCCCCTTGGTCAGGCCTTTGCCCCCAAAGCCGAGACACCCATGCTCAGAAGTCAGCTTACCTTCCTCCGCGAGGTCTTTGTTAATCACCAGCTTGCCATGTCTCAGGTAGTTCAGCACGGGCCCAAAATAGGTGGGGTCTCTGTCGATTAAATAGGCACCGGTTTCATCCTAAAGGGAGCAGAGCATGGTGAGTCCTCCGTGGAAAGCCCACGGACCCTGCAGGTCCACTGAGGCCTGGCCACATCAGGGGTCTCAGGGGCAGCAGGGGCCCCAGGCCTCTCTCCAACAGACTTGAGCCTGTGGCAACTCAGGGAACCCAACGGTGCGGCCACATCCTGCTGCCTACAGCCTGACCCTGACCAGCTACCACCCCGGGTCTAAGAGGAGTCCAAGTCTCTCCGTATGGAGACGGCCTGGCTCTGTGTCTCCAAGGTGAGGCCACTGTGCCTGGGATCTCTGTCCTCACAACTCCAAGACCTCTGGAAAAACACACACGAAACCTCACCCAGATCCTCTCCCCGGGATGCCCTCATGGGCAGGGCAGGGGTCTAGGGATCAGCCACTGAAGGACGCCCGATGGCCGCCAGCCTGGGCCTGCCCTCCTTGTGACCAGGCCCTCCCCGGCCGACATCCAGGACTGGGAGTGACTGGGGCTTCCTGCGAGGGGTGGAGAGGTCACCCTCCAGCAGGAGTGGCTGCTCAGCAGGCCCCGAGCCAGGGAGGCGGGTGGAGGCCCATGGCGATGGCACCCAGCAGCATCCCGGGCTTTCCCCACGACCATGATTCAAACATAGGGCCCTTGCCCTTGCTGAGTGCTCACAGAGGCCAAGTTGTCTACAAAACAGACCCCTCGGAAGGTGTCCTCACACACTTGGTAGCAAGGCCCCTAAGAGGCACTGCCCCTGACACCACCACGGCCACCTCAGTGTGGGCAGACACCCTCTGGGGCCTGGGGTGCCCCACACATCACACCTTGAGGCCCCTTCCACAAAGCACAAGGCCCAGTGGCCTGGGTGTGAGCACAGAACAGGCACTAAGATGCCCCAGGCAGCCCCTGTGGGGGAGACAGAGGAGGCGGTTTCTGTCATCTCATCTGGACCGAGGCCTGCTTGTGGGCGACACATCTGATCGGGGGACACGAAGCTGGCACAGCCCGGCTTCCACAGGGACTCAGACCTTCCTGTGTGGCTCCTGCTGGGGCAGCTCCTGCCTTCACCCAAACACCTTCAGGGGTCCTGCTCCCACTTGCCAGCCACTCCCACAGGGGCTGGTGCCTGAGGGCACCCTGAAGGGCAGGGAGCTGAGGGCTCCCTCGAGAAACACTGTGCAGCCTCCCCGAAAAGGCCTAGGGCCAAGCGCTAGAGAGAGAAGCAATCCCACGCCGAGGCGGAGCAGGCGCAGCCCTCACCAGAAGGCAGCTCCTATGGGGCCCTGGGCTGGTGCTGGCCACGGGAACGCCAGGCTCAGAGACACAGGGAGGCCGAAGGCGTCTCTGCCACAAAGCATGGGGCCGTGCTAGGACCCTGTTTTCATCCATGGACAAATCCTGCCATTTGGGTGGTAAAACTTAGTGCTATCCAGAGATCTGTCCCAAAGTCCACCACTGCAAAGCCGTGAAAACCTGCTCTTCTTAGATCAGGGGCTAAACTGAGCTTTGTGGCTGAGATAAAATCAATCAGAGCTCCGGGCTCAGGGGCGCTGGACCTGGAGCCACAGTGGCCCCCTTACTTCCCCCCAGGGTGACCCCCAACCCCACACAGACTTGACTCCATCTCCTCTTCCCCACCCTCCCCCAGGACACCCCAGCCAGAGCCAGCCCCAGGCTCCCCACCCCTGCAGACTCCACAGCTCTCAAGTAAGGGCCAGGGCCACAGGGCCAGCTCCCAGGAAGAGCACACCAGGGGGTCCTGCCTACCTGGTGAAAAAGGGACACTGTGTCCCACAAAAGGGCCCAAGTCTGGCGAGGCAGCCAGTGCTGCCACCCCAGTCCAGGGTTCCTCCCCGCCCCTACCATGTAGAGTGAGCGCTGGCCGCGTGACATCCGCACACCGCCAACTTGGGAATTATTCATGGCTCACTGCTACCTCGACAAACCGCTGGCAGGAGGTCGGGAGAGATCAGATAGGGTGGCGGCTCGCCTCTGCCCAGGACAACCCCAGAGAGCCCCCTCTTAGCCAGGGAGGCCTCCAGGCCTGGCCACCTGAGGCCTCACTTTCTCTATGAGCAAAATGGGGGCAAGAGCAGCTCATTTAGCTCAGGGCTGCCACAAGCACCAGGGCCCCCACCCTGTGGCAGGACCTGGGTGCTAGGCCGTGACCTCTAGGCCAGGTCAATCTGCCTCGTACTTCTCGGGCCCTGGGCCGGTGCAAGAGCAGAAGGAAACATGCCAGGTGGCCATCGGTGGAAACCGCATGGCAGGACAGAGGAACAAGGGCAGGTCCGAGGAGCTGGCAGGGCACTGGGCTCACCTCAAGATGGGCAGGCTGGAGCAGGCCGAGGCCTTGTCTTGGCCAATCCATCTTTTCCATTAACCAGCCCCTTTAGGAGGCAGCTTTTGTGGCTGATGCCTTGAAGGAACCCCTGACCTCAGTCTGGCCACACCTGGCCCCAAGCAGTGATGCCAGCAGCAGGCCAACTGGTGCAGCTGCTGCCATCACACCTGCCTCTGCAGGGAGGGAACAGAGAGGAGGCAAACAGACCCCGATTCCCAAATCACAGTCAGCACAGCAGGGGAGCAGTTGGGCAGAGAGGGGCTCCGATGCAGAGCTGGGGCCATGCTTCAGGGGCCTGTGGTGGATAGTGGGAGTGGCACCCACTTCAGGGACCTGGCCAGCGGCATAGCCACTGCACCCACCCCACTGAGGGTGCCAGGCTCCTAGGCCTTGGGAGGAGGCTCTGTGTGGGGCTGCCTGGGCTCCCTCCCACTCCATGGAGCAGGCAGGAGCCCCCACTCCCTCCCTCGGCACAACTGCAGCGGCCCAAACCACAGCCTCAGGAATCCCTGCACTCTTGGGGGCCCAGGAAGACCCCTCTGCCCTTGCAGGCTCAGAGGCACCTGCTCCCATGGCCTGGCTTCTTCCTATTGGTGCCTGCTCCAATCTGGGAGCAAAATCGGGACCAAGCCCAGGCGTCATGAACAGCAGCAGGAGGCAGACAGGTCCCTGGGCAGAAGGGGGCACTCCCCAGGGAGGAGGACTGGGAGGGCTTGAAGGCAGAGGCCGGCTGCCAGTCTGGCGGACCAGAGTGGGGACTTGTGGTGCATTTTCTGGGCCTACCAAGGACCAATCAGCATGCACTTCCTCCCCTCTGGGGTCCCTAAGAGCCCTGCGCTCAGCCAGAGCAGGGCAGAGGATGAAGAGGACAGAGGCAAATAGAAGACCAGCTGTGGAGAGAAGCTACCTCTCTGCTGAGAGCCAGGAAGTCAGCAGGGACCTGGCCGGCGGAGAGGAGCCAGCCAGTCTGGGGCTTCCTCTGCTGAGAGCTACACACTGAACTAGCCGACCTGCCTTCAGAGCAGAGCTGCCCCTGTGGTCTCTGCACGGTCCTAACACTGTTAAAGCTTCTCTTCTTCCTGCTCACCCTCCGTTTCTCTGCTACTCATTCTTCCTGGACGCAGGACAAGAACTTGGGCAAAGGTGCTGCCGGCCACAGAGGTCTCTGGCCAGAAAAGCGACACCCTAAAGATCCCATAACAGCAGGGTTGGGTACATCCAGACACGGGGACATGGGGCTTCCAAGACCAGGCTCCCTAGCTGGAGCCATGGCACCTTTTGAGGGTGAGAGTTCAGGCCACAGTGGCTGGGCTCTATGTAGCTCGTCTCAGTCCCTGGGGCCCAGGCTCCCCACAGAGGGCCCAGGAAGCCCGGATGCACCCGTGTGGGAACCGCAAGCCCCAGGGACCTTCCTGATGTGCTTTCCTGCAGCCTCTGGCTCCAGCCCATCCCTGTGCTCAGAGGCCAGCAGCCTGGGTGCCAAATACCCAGCCATCAAGGGCAGGGGAGGCTGGGCACCAGGGGGACCCCACCTATATCCAGTTAAGAGGAGACTTTAGGCCGGGCGCAGTGGCTCACGCCTGTCATCCCAGCACTTTGGGAGGCCGAGGCGGGTGGATCACGAGGTCAAGAGATCGAGACCATCCTGGTCAACAAGGTGAAACCCCGTCTCTACTAAAAAATACAAAAATTAGCTGGGCATGGTGGTGCGCACCTGTAATCCCAGCTACCTGGGAGGCTGAGGGAGGAGAATTGCTTGAATCCAGGAGGCGGAGGTTGTGGTGAGCCGAGATCGTGCCATTGCACTCCAGTCCGGGTAATAACAGTGAAACTCCATCTCAAAAAAAAACAGACTTTAAAGGAGCAGCCCCTGGAAGACGCCCAGGAGTCCAGATGCTTGTTGCCAACCTTGCTGGGAGCCAAGGCTGCAGGGCAGGGGAGCAGAGAGAACCCCACCTGCGTCTACCAAGAACCTGCCATTCTGGAGCCTGCCGGCCACTCCACACTCCCAACACCCCAGCCGCCTCCAGGAGAGCGGGAGTCAGATGGGGCCTCCACCCCTATACTCTTCTGATGTGGTTCAATTCTCTGGGACCCAAGACCTCTGGGCCCTGCAGGACATGCCCAGGCTCCTCAGAGTTGGCATGCCAGGCCTTCGGCTGCCCCCACAGCCCTCTCCCAGAGTGACACTGCAGAGCCCTGCTCAGCCTGCCCCGAGACCACCCAGATCCAAGAGCCCAGCTAAGCCGCAGGACAGCAGAGGCTGAAGAATGAACAGCAGGCTACATGCTTGGCTAGAAATTCCAAAACTCGCTTCTCTGTGGCGGGCCTCACAGCTCTCCAGCCATTTCTTCCCGTGGGTTCCTTCTAGCTGGGTGGGTTTCCTCAAGAAACAGGCCCTGTCTGGGCAGAGGGCAAAGTCAGGGACATCCGCGCCAGGGCGGGGAGGCGGTGGCATGTGGAGGTACTGCTCTCACCACTGCGCTGTTCAAGCGCTTTCAATGGGAGATGCCTGCATCCACAGAAAGTGCCAGGATCTTAAACCAGGACCCCCAAATCCCAACAGGGTTCGGGTCTCGCTGTGGCCTGACTCACTTCCATGCACACAGGCAGGGCCTCCCTGTTCCAGCTCACGTGAGCGGCGTGCTCCAGGTCGGCCTCACGCGTGGGGCCTAT